ACAGATACAGATAGACTTGAGCATGTGGGATGCACGTGAAGGAGATAAACCTAACTTGACATAATTGATATCTCCTGATCCTGATCAAAAATATTGCATAATTGATAAGGAGAAGGAGAGAATACGGTTTAAGAAAGGGAAGGAGTTAGAGGTTGAGATCAACTAGAACTCTTCCACCAAGGAAGAGTACCATCAGAATTCTAGTCAATCTCTATTTACTAACTCTATAAATATCAGTGTTGTTCTCTTTTACAGGCAACGCACACAAGCACAAGTTAAACGTGAATTGAGAGCAAAATAGCAAGGCAATTTTGCAAGCAATTTGTGTGTGATTCAAGTGTGCAAACCTGAAGCTACATGAACCAGATAGAAGAACCAGTTCCAAGTGTCTGTCTTTTATTCTAGTTCAATTGTAGTAGGTGGTTTCATATTGTACCTTTCAGCTTTATCTAGAGGCAATTGTAATAGGTACTCAGAGTCTCAAGTTAGAGTTAACTTGAAGTTGTCGCAACAGTTAGAGGCTATGTGCTACAATGGGATTACAGTTAGTCCTAGGTTTACAAAAGAGTTTTTGTAAATGCAGTTTTTGGCTCAGTGATTTTAGTGGAGAGTTTGGGAAAATCTTACTGGAAAGTAGGTCGTGGTTTTTTTACCTTTTGAGCCAGGTGTTTTCCACGTAAAATACTTGTGTTCTTTACTTTCTGCATTTACTATTTCTGCAATAGTAGGTTAAGGAACACTTAGAAGAACCAGGTCCTTCCATAACCAGTTTAAGCGAAATATTAATCACCACACAAATCATCCCCCCCCCCCCCTCTTGTGTGGTATTCAAGTATAAAACATCATTAGGGAATTGGAAATCTATCTCCATGGAAATGATGATTCATTTTGTTCGCTCAAAAATCATCATATAATAATTCAAAAATTACAATAGAAAAAAAATAAAGGAGGTTTGTAATGATTTTTTAATCTTTTCTACTAGATAATCTAGTATTCTTATGCACGAAGATAATCAATTCAATCGTTTCGATTGGGCTCTATTATGAATTTATGATCACATTCTCCGTAGGGCTTTGGTTATGAACGAAGGAACTGAGAAAAAGGTATCACGTCTCGCTCATTTTGTCCAGGTTGAAATTAAAAAATATGAGTTGATGATATTAGTATATTTTCTCACATCAATAGATCAATTAACCAGAATAAGTACAGCATATTTTGTGTAAAAACGGAAATTGGTTTAAAAAAATCATCATATCTCATAAGGACCATGAGTAAAGATTTGCAAAATAATTTAAGAACTTAAAAACAACTTTCCCGAATGAATTATGTACACAATTGATTGACTGACAGCTGAATCAGGTTAATTTTACTGAAGCTCATCCAACTAATATTTAATTTCGCAAAAGTCAATTATCTATTTTTAGTCACGTAAAAGTTACTAAACATTATCACTATTATTGAGGCAGTTGGGAAATGAACACGTGATAGTTGTGTGATAGTTAGTTAGGGAGTTTTAATTATTGTTAAGAAGTTGTTAGATTAGTAATGAGTGTTATTTAGATGATTAGTAGGTGTTTAGCTCAAGTTAAATATTGTATACTGTACAGCATTTTCAGTTAGTGTAATAAGAACAATTGATTCTCTTTCTCTCTCGTCTCTTTTCTTTGTTATCATTCCCCCATAGCTGAAGCTTAAGACTCAGCTTGCATGGCGGTTTAGTACAACTTTCCTCATGGTATCAGAGCAATGAGGCCATTAATATGGACCTAAGCTCATCGATCGTAGCTTCCGCAATTCATTTCTAATTCTGTAGGTTCATCTTCTCTTCTGCGAATCTAGGGCATGAATATTGGAGATCCTAAATGGCAATTGTAGATAATACATTGCCAGAAAATCTAAGCTACAATCATTCTCTATTTCTACACTCGACAGACAATTCAGGAGTTGTTATGATTTCATTGCAGTTCGGGATCGGACAATTACTCTATGTGGAGCAGAGCAATGCGCATTGCGATATTAGGTCACAACAAAATAGGACTCATTGAAGGTACCTGTAAGAAGGAAGATTACGGTACAAATTTGACAGATCTGAGGGAGATATGCAATGCAATTATTCTCTCATGGATAATGAACTGCGTATCGAGTGATTTGCTGAGTGGAATTGTATATTCCTCAAATGCATGTGCTGTTTGGAAGGATTTGAAAGAGAGATTTGATAAGGTCAATGGTTCTAGAATTCTCCAGTTACACAGGGCTACAGATACTGCGAGTCAAGGAACAAGCTTAATTGCAACTTATTTCTCAAAGTTGCGTGAACTTTGGGCTGAGTTTGATTGTTTGGCACCGGCTCCTGGTTGTGATTGCCCAAAGTCAAGTGAATATGAGGTTTTGATGTATAGGCAAAAGCTATTGCAGCTCCTTATGGGGCTCAACGAGACATATGAACAAGCACGTGAGCAGATCATGATGATGGATCCACTTCCAACCGTGAATAAGGACTATTCTATACTGATGGAAAGAGAGAGCCAAAGGAGTATGGCAAATGCAGTAGTTCCTCGTGACAATGCTGAGATGACAGCCCTGTTGACAACAAAAGGATTCAATAATCAGAAGCCTAGGAAGAATTATAATGTGTTTTGTGATTACTGGAAAATGAAAGGGCATATTAGAGAAGGATGCTACAAATTGATTGGGTATCCTGATGATTTCAAGTTCAAAAAGAAGTTTGGGGGTAATACAACTCACAATGCAATGGCAGGGGAACTTAAGCCACAGGCTGCAGTAGGAAGAGGTCAAGATGCTTTCAAAGTTCCTCAAGTTCTACATTTCACATCAAAACAGTAAACCAAATTCTAAGGCTACTCAACAAGGAGAATGTGCCAAAAGCATCAGCTAATATGGCAGGTAGCAATAGTGATTTTTTTGTTGATGGTAATAATCATGAATGGACTGTAGATACTGGGGCTACAAATCACATGACTTCTAATTTGGACATGCTAGAAAACAAATTAGAAGTAGCTGGAATTCATACAAAGAAAGTACATTTGCCTAATGGATAAGCATCAAATGTGACTCATATGGGATCATGTAATATAGCAAATGCGGGGAGAATTGACAATGTGTTATACTTACCTGAATTCAAGTACAATTTGTTGTCAGTGTCTATGATCACAAAGGAGTAAATTATTGTGCAGCATTTTATCCTAATTTCTATCTGCTTCAGGACCTTTGCAGTGGGAAGGTGAATGTGATTGGTAAGAAGAGGAGAGGAATCTACCTATTGCCACAAACTACTACTAGGAATAATAAAGGAATAATTCAAGGTTTGGCTGCAAAGAAGGCAGGCCTGGACATTGGTCTCTGGCATGGAAGGCTTGTACATGCTTCAGCAGGAGTACTGAAGCAACTTTTTCATTAGTCTATGATGAAAGTAAAGGAAATATAGACAATTGTAGTGTGTGTCCTTTAGCTAAACATTGTAGGCTGCATTTAGCATAAGTAGTAGTAGAGTTGAAGATATGTTTCACTTGTTACATGTTGATGGGGGACCATATGCTGTGCAGACTTTTGATGGTAATAAATTATTTGTGACAATTATTGATGATCATTCAAGAATGACTTGGGTTTACTTGTTGAAATTGAAAAGTGCTGTGTTGATTTTACTGAAAAGTTTCTTAAATCTAGTTCAGACTCAGTTCAGTAGACAAGTCAAAGTGATCAGGACTGATAATGGGACAGAATTTTTGAATGAGGCATGTGGCAAGTTTTTCCAATTGAACGAAATCATTCACCTGAGGACATGTGTTTATACACCTCCACAGAATGGAATTGCTGAAAGAAAGTACAGACATGTACTTGAGATAGCAAGAGCCATGAGGTTTTAAGGACACATACCCTTGAGATTTTGGGGACACTATGTGCTAGCAGCACTATATGTCATTAATAGATTACCATCAAGTGTATTAGCAGGGAAAAGTCCTTTTGAAGTGTTTCACAAGAGGAAGCCAAACATTGAACATGGTTGTTTGTGTTTTGCAAAGAGAATAAATGTGCATGACAAGTTTGAAGCTAGAGCAACAACAACAGTTTTAATGGGGTATTCAGAAGTCACAAAAGGTTATATCATTTATGATTTATCTAAGCAATGTTTCTTTGTAAATAGAGATGTTGTTTTTAAGGAGTCCTTATTTCCCTTCAAGTATAAGAGGCAAGAGAAACAACATCTGTTTGTAGACATGGAATTTGCAGCACATGATGCAGTAACCACCCCACCACTTGACACAACAGTCCATTCACCAGCTCTCAATATTGAGGAGCAGGCTGTCCTTGATGATATTCCAGGAGTAACTGATGAGGAAGAAAGCATGACCCTGGAAGATCATGTACATCACCAACATTTCATTGATGAGGAGACAGAACAAATGGGTAATGAAGTACCAGGAAATAATATAGAGGGCACTAGGAAGTCCACCAGAGACAAACGAGTACCAGTTTGGATGACTAACTATGTGACTGCAGCTGCACTAGATCAGTCACCTAAACCTTATTCTATTTGCAACCATGTTTGGTATGATGGATTAAAACCAGCTTATCAAGACTACTTGAGAGCTTTCTCAGCTGTTATTGAACCTCAGACATTCCATGAAGCATCCAAAGACAAGAGGTGGATTGAAGCCATGAAGGAAGAAATTCAAGCATTAGAAGATAACAAGACATGGGAATTGGTGACATTACCAGCAGGGAAAACTCCTATAAGTTGCAGATGGGTTTACAAAATAAAGTATAAAGCCAATGGGAATATTGAGAGTTTCAAAGCACGCTTGCTGGCTAAGGGATATAGCCATAAAGAAGGCTTAGACTACCATGAAATATTTTCCCCAGTTGTAAAAATAGTTACAGTCCGAGTAGTGATTTCTGTTGCAGCTACTGAAGGGTGACATATACATCAAATAGATGTATATAATGCCTTTCTTCAAGGGGACCTTTATGATGAAGTATACATGAAGATACCTAAGGGATTTGTCAACCAGAGGGAGAATGAAGGCAAGGTGTGTAGGCTTGTCAAATTCCTATATGGGCTGAAATAAGCAAGCAGGCAGTGGAATGTCAAATTAACTGAGGCACTGATTCATCAAGGATTTGTGCAGAGTTCCTTAGACTATTCCTTATTTACAAAGAAGCAAGACAAAAAAATAGTGGTCATTCTTGTATATGTGGATGACATGCTAATTACTGGTAATGATCTGACACTCATGGAAGAAATCAAGAAGCAATCATATCAGCCCTTCATGCTTAAGGATTTGGGTGAGTTGATGTATTTCTTGGGCATTGAGTTTTGTAGATCTCACAGAGGAATCATGATGAACCAGAGAAAGTATAGCGTGGAGCTCATATCAAAAATGGGGTTGAGTGCAGCTAAGCCAAGCTGGACACCTTTAGATTGCAATCAAAAACTCACAACTACTGAGTTGGATGAAGTTGCAGGATCAAGTAGTGATGAACCACTGGAAGAAAAAGGACAGTATCAAAGGTTGATTGGCAAGTTGTTGTATCTAACCTTGACCAGGCTAGACATTGCCTTTGCTGTTCAGACGTCAGTTTATGCAAAATACAAAAAGGTCACACTGGGAAGCAGCCATAAGGGTATTTAAATATGTGGAGAGGGAACCAAGTTAGGCATCATGATGAGCATCAATAAGAAGAACACCTTGACTGCATTTTGTGATGCTGATTGGACATCTTGTCCAAATACAAGAAAGTCTGTAACAGGCTTTGTCGTGAAACATGGAGATTCATTAGTTGCATGGAAGTCAAAGAAGCATAATACAGTGTCCAAGAGCTCAGCAGAAGCAGAGTACAGAAGCATGGCTTCAGTGGTTTCAGAGTTGGTATGGTTAATAGGGGTGTTCAAGGAGCTGGGAGCAGAAGTAGAATTGCCAGTTTTGTTGCACTGTGATAGTAAAGTTGTATTGCAGATAGCAGCAAATCCAGTGTATCATGAGAGAACAAAACATGTTGAGATAGATTGTCATTTCATTAGAGAAAAGATTCAAAAAGGGCTGATTAGAACAGTACATGTAGGGTCGAAAGAGCAAGTGGCAGACATACTCACTAAAGGGCTTGCAAGACAACAACATGAATTTTTGATGTCCAAGCTGGGAGTGCTCAACATCTTCGCACCTACCAGCTTGTGGGGGAGTATTGAGGCAGTTGGGAAATGAACATGTGATAGTTGTGTGATAGTTAGTTAGGGAGTTATAATTATTGTTAGGAAGTTGTTAGATTAGTAATGAGTGTTAGTTAGATGGTTAGTAGGTGTTTAACTCTAATATAAATATTATATATTGTACAACATTTTCAGTCAGTGTAATGAGAACAATTGATTCTCTTTCTCTCTCGTCTCTTTCCTCTGTTATCATTCCCACATAGCTGAAGCTTAAGACTCAGCTTGCATGGCGGTTTAACACAGACTTCCTCAATTATCATTTAAAAATTATTATGGCTCAAATCCTACAAAATTCTTTTAAAAATCTGACATGTCATAAAATTTAATCCAAAAAATCTTAAAATGTGATTTATTCATGCTTGAAATTAATATAACTTTATCAATATATCTCTTCATAGCATCATCAAATCATTATATGGAGAAACTTTTTAAAAGAATGGAGGAGGAAAAAATGGTTGAATTCGGAAACTGCTTTTGTCTTTTCTTTTTTCTTTTTAAGTAGAAACTGCTTTTGTCATAGGGTACAACTTTTAATTGTTTTTGCCAGCAAATAATTCGAAAAAATAGTAAAAATTGTGGTCCTTTTGAGTACTCAGAATAGCCCTAAAAATGGTAGAAATGTATTCTTTTTTATGGATATCTGTTTGGCATAATAGGGTAAGTGGTGTTACCAATCAACTGAAGAAACTGATTGATGTGGTAATCGATCTGTCGCCTGACTCTTTCAATTCTAAAAGGCCACAAATCTTTCTTCTTCTCTTTCATTGTTTGTGATTTTAATTTAGCTTTTACTTAATATATTTTATTATGCCATATTTATGGATATCCCTCATAGGTTTTAATGGAGTCCGGAACCTAAATATTATTTTTTTGGACTCAAAGTACATTAATAAGTGTAAAAAAGAAAAAGTTACCTTTCTATATATAACGTCCAAGTACAAGACGTTATACCTTAACGGTAACTTTTGCCGTTAAGGTATAGCGTCTTGTATTTGGACGCTATATAGCCTGACGATTTGACTGACATATATAGCGTCCTTAATTTATACGCTATTCATATAGCGTACAAAAATAACACACTATACCTATTTTGATAATTTTGTGTGTGTTTGTTTTAGATTATTTACTTTTGTGCTACTGGACGCTATATCTATTTTGATATTTAGTTTATTTATTAGCGTAGTAAACTGTATAGTATTTTAGCGTAGGATCCCTGTAGTTTAAGTATTTCTTATACTGGTAGATGAAAATATGTACTTTGTACAATTAAATAATAAAAAAATTGAATTTGACATACATAAATATTCATGATAATTTTTGTGCTACTAGGTCTCAAATATCGAGCCTGGAACCCAATAGGTATATATACTTTGTACAATTAAATAATAATAAATTAAGAATTTAAATTATAAAACAAACACACANTTAGTGTTCTAAAAAAAATATAAAATTGAGATTTAATTTTTTATGTTAATATCTGAATTTAGATATTAGTGTTTCCATATCGTTTTGTGTTTTATTTGCGAAACTAGTATGTTATATGTATTTTTGTGAATGTTATGTGATTAAAATGTATTTGTTGTTTATATTTAGTTTATTTATTAGCGTAGTAAAATGTAGAACTTTTTAGCGTAGTAAACTGTATAGTATTTTAGCGTAGAATCCCTGTAGTTTAAGTATTTCTTATACTGGTAAATGAAAATATATACTTTGTACAATTAGATAATCAAAAAATTAAATTTGACACATATAAATATTCATGATAGTTTGGTGCTACTAGGTCTCAAATATCGAGCCTGGAACCCAATAGGTATATATTCTTTGTACAATTAAATAATTATAAATTAAGAATTTAAATTATAAAACAAACACACACAAAATTATCAAAATATTGAATTTGACACACATAAATATTCATGATAGTTTGGTGCTACTGGGCCTCAAATATCGAGCCTGAAACCCAATAGCTATATATATTTTGTAAAATTAAATAATTAAAAATTAAGAATTTAAATAATAAAACAAACACACACAAAATTATCAAAATATTGAATTGGATACACATAAATATTCATGATAGTTTGGTGCTATTGGGTCTCAAATATCAAGCCTGGAACCCAATAGGTATATATACTTTGTAAAATTAAATAATTATAAATTAAGAATTTTATTATAAAACAAACACACACAAAATTATCAAAATATTGAATTTGACACACATAAACATTCATGATAGTTTGGTGCTACTGGGTCTCAAATATCGAGCTGGGAACCCAATAGGTATATATACTTTGAACAATTAAAATAATTATAAATTAAGAATTTAAATTATAAAACAAACTCACACAACATTATCAAAATATTAAATTTGACACACATAAATATTCATGATAGTTTGGTGGTACTGGGCTTCAAATATCGAGCCTGGAACCCAATAGCTATATATATTTTGTATAATTAAATAATTAAAAAGTAAGAATTTAAATTATAAAACAAACACACACAAAATTATCAAAATATTGAATTTGACACACATAAATATTCATGATAGTTTGGTGCTACTAGGTTTCAAATATCGAGCCTGAAACCCAATAGGTATATATACTTTGTACAATTAAATAATTATAAATTAAGAATTTAAATTATAAAACAAACACACACAAAATTATCAAAATATTAAATTTGACACACATAAATATTCATGATAGTTTGGTGCTACTGGGCCTCAAATATCGAGCCTGGAACCCAATAGGTATATATACTTTGTACAATTAAATAATTAAAAATTAAGAATTTAAATTATAAAACAAACACACACAAAATTATCAAAATATTGAATTTGACACACATAAATATTCACGATAGTTTGGTGCTACTGGGCCTCATATATCGAGCCTGGAACCCAATAGGTATATATATTTTGTACAATTAAATAATAAACATACAATTAATGTTGCTTAATTTACAGTAGACGACATGGACACGCCGCCTATACATCCCGGCCCTTACTCTCGTGAGCTATTAGTGCTTCAGGGCGATCATAGGTCCGCCCATATATGGGAGGGAGAGTTACTGTCCCAGACTCTCCGCGCTAGGAGAGTGGACGACCTGTGGGATTTTCTNGAGGCCAGAGATCTCCACGAGCGTGAGTCCATCGCCTCAGGCTACGGGATTCTATAGGA